TAAACAAGAGCACCGTAAATTTCAGATTGCACAATTAGACACTGATAAAAATTAGTTGTATTAATTTGCCTAATAATTTATACTAAAATGTTAATTTTATTCGCTGTATATTTAAGCGAATAATTTTCAAAAGGATTCTGACGTGCGAGATCATCATTCATGACGGAATAAGATGCCAGGGGTGTGGGAGGCGTTTCTAAAAGACATCAACGGAGCTGCAAGGACTAAATCATGCCGTGACAGCACCTCCACCTAAATACGTTGAAAAGTGATAAACTGCAGCAATGAAGATCTTATTTTACAACATACATGCGTACAAAAGTCAGAACTGTGAGGGATCACTGCTTGCTGATGAATATTCTTATGAAATCTTTTTCTTACCAACTTGTCCTGCCTATTCTCTAGCTGCTGACCATCTAAATGAATATAAAACAGATCCAAGGGCCAAATTAGGGTACGATTATTATCTAAAACCAGACGTCACAGGAATCACCTATTTTAATAAAACTTTTCTAAAAGTTTTTGCCAAGGGAACTAGGAGCCATGAAAATAAATTTGACATAATTTAAGTATATATTTTTTTAATATTGTTATTTACCTTCGTTGTGCGTGCAAGTTAATATTTGTTTTATTTTTTGCGCACAATGAGAAAATAATAGACAAGTTTTTATTAAATCCGGTATACTATATAATAAAAGTTAAAAAAACCAAAAGAAGTGTTCGGTGAAGTAGGCGAAATAAAAAAAATTAGGATGAAACCCTTACTCACGAATTTTTGTAGTAATAAAAAATATGCTTTTGGTTTGGAAGTCGAGGCAATTTTTTTTATTCGATATCCCCTATGCAATTTAAAAATTCCTTAATCCACTGAATTTTATCTACTTTCAACAGTATTAAAATTGTTGGCATGCTTAATTCCCGTCTTTTTGGCGATTTCAATTAAATTTCAATTTTATGTCTTTGCAAGTGAGAAATATAAGAATACAATCAATAACAATTATTCAAAAGCGTTTTAATTTATTTACTGTGGCAAATTTCTGACATAACGTGCAGTTCATTCGGTTCTAAATCCTGTTCATCAGTATAGATTTTTAAAGCTATCTCGTTTTGATAAAAACGGATGCGTTTGGAAGGAAAATAATTTGAGGAAAAATTTCGCTACGCAAATTTCTTCGGCTACTCAAACAATAAACCATGGATGTGGTACTTAACCTATTCCAAACCCTGATTCCTAACCTAGTTCAACCCAACTCAATTCAACATAACTTGAACTACCCCGTCCGAAACCGTTACACCAACCTTACCTGTAACCCTTTCTAACCTAACCGGTCTCTATGTCTAATTGTAACTAATCCTAACCTTACCTAACCTAACCCACCCCAATTCAGTTAACCTTACTCGTCCAACTAACCTTAACTCTAACTCTTCGTAACCATTCCTAACCTAACTCAACCTAATCTAACCATTTTTAACCTACCTAACCCGCTTCTCTAGTCCTAACACCGACCCTAACCGTACCTAACATAACCTGACCATTTCTAAACTAACCACAATCCCCTCATCTGCACTCCCCGTAATACGAATTCCATGATGCACAAATAGTTCCGCAAAAAATGTTTGTGTACCCAGCCTGAAAACATATCTGTTAATTTTTTTCTCAAGAATTTTTATCCTGAGATTTTTAGGAGTGAAAAACTAAATATCAACATAGTTTCTTCGTAAAACAATCTTTACTTTCTTCGCTACGTCCTTTGTGACAGAGTTGAAAAATACAGTTGCAATAGGGCTAAATTAGGGTGGGGTAATAATATAGTAATTCATTGAACACATTGAATCATTTATGCAGAAGATAGCCATGCAACAGTTAATGATAAAATCTGGCTGAAAGCGCAAGTACCGCTAAAATTTATAAACAGCAAGAACGATACTATTACTATACTAGATAAAAATTGCAAAAAAGGGAAAATTCAAAAGGTGAAGTTGAGATATGAAGTAAATGTCCGAGTTGATCGAAGTCAGGCTAGCTCAAGTGGTAGAGCAGCGGCGTATTTAGCCGAAGGTCATGGGTTCGAATCACGCTCGTGACACTGACTTCTTTCCTCAACCAAAACCTTACATAAAAAGATTAATTAATTGAAAATACTAGATAAATATATATTCCTTCATAAACGCCCTTTTCATGATCTGGTTGTTCTGCCCCTACTGATTTTCTACAAAAAGGATTTGAATGCGAGTTTTACTGTGCGATCTTCATCTAATTATAAGTAGATTACTTGATTTTCTCTGTTACGTATCCAAGTTTACTTTTTGAAAGGATGCACGTCCTATAATTAAAATCGTGTTAAAAAATAAAAAGCCACGATAACTTTGGCATCGACACATTTCGTCACACTGTTATACAAGAAATATAATAAAAAATAATGATAATATGTTGAATCTTAAAATAACCATGAAAAAATCGATTATAACAGTAGTTGATGTCAAATTACTACTTTTTAATTATACATATTTGGTTGTATTAAGGGGTGTAAATTAGAGATGGTGAATGGAAAAATGTAGTAGTGAACTATTTGGATGTTTCAATAAAGTTATTCAGATATCGTGAGATGCGGTCGGGTGTGATGTAGGTTTCAGAAAAACATTTTCTTTATCGTGCCAACGTTTGGATCTTTTATTGAGATCATCTTCAGGGCTCAATGACTGGCACTCTCAACACGACACGCAAGGATGGCACAATTTCACAGAAGACAAACACTTTGAGCCCTGAAGATGATCTCAATAAAAGATCGAAACGTTGGCACGATAAAGAAAATGTTTTTCTGAAACCTACATCACACCCGACCGCATCTCACGATATCTGAATAACTATCGATTAACGGTCACTAATCTCTACACATTTCGATAAAGAATGTAAATCATTTTTGCATCAGATCGGGATAGATCTGGCTTGAAATACTTAACGGTAAATCGCATTGTAAACGTGTAAATACTGGTTAATTCCAGACACCCCAAGGCATTGTTTTTTACATTAATAATGTATATAATAGTAATAAAGGCACTTTCTTTGGTGGAATCCTACAATGTACAATTAAATTACAACTACAAAACAAGTACCATTACGGCATGGAAAATTCCGTCTACCGAAGGTGAATGAAAACAGACTGGGCAACAAAAGTGCTAAATTTGAATTTAAAAAAGGCTTCCAAAGAACTTAAATTAAATTAAAAAATGAAATAGTAAAGAAAACAACTTGAAATTAAATATCCAAACACTAAATATTCATTTCAGTGACAAAAATATCTGTATTGCCATGCGTATATACAAAATCCTACAATTGAAGTTAGCTCATAGTTTAACCCGTTAATTAATTGGTCTGGGGAAAGGAAACTGCAGCCTAGGTGGAGCATGTGGATTTCATTTAAGATTGTACATCGTGCAATGAAATGGAACATATCCTCTCTGACCTTAGAGTTAGATAAAGTGGACAATGCAGACAGCCCCTCAAACCTTGAGGCGTAACTTAGCCAAAGCACATCACATCTCATTTTACCCACCCACCTATGTAAGTCAGATTTGCGTACTGATTAGGCACAGTGAGAAAAGAATGATCAAGATCCCTATGCACCAAAAAGCTAGGGGATTCCAGAGTAACCCTCACAGATGCCAGAGTAACCCGCACAGACTCACGCAGAGGAGGCAGACTCATTGTTGAAAGGAGAGTTAAAAAATTATTATTCCATTTAGGTATATTATTAACGTTTAAGTTATGAGGGATGTAATATTTGAAAAATAGTGTATGCCAGTGGGAGAATCAGAATGTCTTGTGTTTTATTACCTCTTGAGCAGTGATTTGAGGGAGTCGAGTGTCATGGAGTTGAAGGTTTTTTGTTAGGATATACTTAAAGTGACGCTTCATTGTAGATTAGATCAGTAGTTCCATGGATTTTTCTTTTTTTCTATGTATGACCTATAGTTAGGGGTTTGTAGGTTATTAAAGGTCCAACAGGACGATCATAATGCACGAGATTTTTTAAAACGGCGCTAATTGAAGACGAACGTTTTCAAAGTGCTCTGAAGAATTTAAACAATGTAATTAAATCAAATGGAAAACTTATGCAAATACATTGAAGATGCTATTGGAATTTAACCGACATATATAATTCGATGAAAAGTAAGATCTTAAACCTTAACGGTCATAGTTGATCTATTTTAATTATTTCAATTAATTTTACTTTTATATAAAGTCTTGGTTGAGAGGAAAATTAGGTAATAAGAGCAAAATTTAGGAAAGTTGTAGGATGAGATGGCAGTGTATCCGAGTGGATCGAAGTCTCGATAGCTTAAGTGGTAGAGCAGCCGCGTATTTAGCCGAAGGTCGTGGGTTCGAATCCCGCTCGTGACACTGACTTTTTCATCACAACCAAGACATAAGATAAAAGTATAATTAATTGAAATAAGATCTTAAATTTGGAATCTTATGTGAAAGATACAGATCGAAATCCGTCAATTGGGTCTGCTAATTATCGTGATGTTTTGAACAACAGACAAATTAAGGTTAGACCCATTGAACAAATTTTTAAAGTGGTTGTCAAACCAATGAAACAAAATTTTACTTCTGATGATGCAAGAAAAATTCTTAAAACCAAATTAAAAATTGGAATCAGCAAAATGGTAGGACTGCCCAAAGGATGTGTGATGGTTCAAATTTGCAGCCAAAACGATAATGAACTTCTATTATTAATTATTATTGTTTATTAATTAATATATAATTACAAACACGCCGAGGATTCCCTTAAAGCTTTAGTACAGAAAAAAAATTATTCCCCGAATGATTGTCTATGACATCCCGTAAGGTGTAAGTAAATAAAGCTAACTTATGCGAAATAATAAAAAGCCAAAACCCTGAGTTGTTTACATCTAAGAGTTTCATCGTACGATTTGTATGAACACACCAAGTAAATCAAAATAGAAGAAATGTTTGTAATTGTAGTATATCCTACCTTGAGAAGAAATCTTGCGTAGACGAAAATTATGCAATCCTGGTCCGTTTGTCGAGCTGCTGATTATATTTATATTAAACGGTGATACCATTGTAATCAATTCCGTCACACGAGCCACGGTTGCAAGAATGATATCAATTATGCGAAATGTTCACTTAACCATGATACTAAAGACTTTAATAAACCCACGAATGTAAGTGCATTAATTGTAAGAACCTCAACGAACGCGCCAAAAACGTATACCATGTAAATGGTAACTATCCCGCCTTTGATGAGATTTCCCCTTGTCACCTTTCCGATGTTGGCAGTATACGAAAACTGATTGACTATGGCTGGTGACGTCACAAACTTCCCAAATGGTGATGTGAGATGTTTTCAGTTGAATACACAACTCCAAGGCGGCAATAATTGTACAAACGAAATTATATCACGTCTTAAAATAGATATAGTCATACTTCAAGACCCCTACTGCCAAAACATTAATATCTCCGGGATAAATAAAAATTGGCGAATGTATTAACCGGAAAAACGGCGTAAGCGGCACAACTTGATGCAATAATGCTACCAGCTTTATCAGATTAAGATTTCATTTTCATTGATGTTACCCCAAAATCCAAAATTTTGTAGTATTGTATAAATTATTTTTTTTAATTCTAAACTTTTCTAGCATTGTATAAATCCATTCTTTCTTTTTTTAATCTAAAATTTTCTAGCATTCTAAATATTTTTTTTAATATACAATTTTCTAGCGTTGTATAAATTCATAATTTTTTGCACATCCTACTTGTATTCAAGATTCAAAATTCAAACAATGTTCGTCTATAATCCCAGGCCCTGAAGATGATGTCAATAAAGATGGAAACGTTGGCACGATAAAGAAATGTTTTTCTAGAACCAACGTCACACCAGACCGCATCTCACGATCTCCGAATAATTATCCCAAAAAATTTTCCTAGTTTTTCTGTGATAGTAACGTCTACGCTCAAACGTCAAACCTGTCCACCAGTGCACATTAAGAACAAGACAACCGAATCAAGTCCGCTACCTTGGGCTTTACTTATAGCAAAGTTACATGAACACACAATATTAAAACGACAAGAACTAGTGTGTGTAAAATGAACAAAAGTTATAACTACTCAGACACCAAGTGACCAAAACCAACACTAAGCAGAGTGCAAGTAGCATCCATGTACTACAAGCAAACTAACCGTTACAAAACACTCAACAGGCCTATTTCGACTTACGTAGTAAAACTGAGGGGTTAGGTCAAATCAAACGATCCATAAAGATCTTAAAATCCCTTTCGTGAAAGATCTTACCCCGGCCCGCTTCCTCAATTATACTCTAAACTATCTCTCTACTACGATGGTCTTGTGACCTTCTATCTTAGCCCACCCAATTAAATAAAAGAGTTGTTCCTGGTTGGTTTCTGTCCCCACTGTCTCCTGGCCTGACAGATCTGTAAGATTTGTATACAACTGTACTATTTTCCCAATGTATATTTTGTACAGATAGCAATAAATAAAATAAAATAGTTTAAAAAAGGTTTTTTTTGTGATTAGAGCTAACTTTTGTGAGAAAAATGACGTAGAGGAAGATTTGAAAAAATTAGCATATGCTCTAAAAACATGCCAAATAAAAATAGAATTCTGATAGATACTCTAGGTCTAAGGCATTGATCGACATCCGTACAAATGGTCGAGGCAAAATATTGCAATGTTTCCTATCATCTAATTCACTAATAATCATGATGATTGGAAATCGACCTTTCAGAGTTCATGAGGGGAAGGCCGCTGTGTACTACGAATATGTCACCATTCATTAATTATTTGGAATAATAATGATGAACCATGAGGATCCGATTATCGCATGGTAACATGCCAAGTATCCGGATAATGGCGTTGGACGTAATTTAAATTGGAAGGAATTTGGGCATAATATAAAATAAAATTAGCTAAACGGTCAAACTTTTATAAAGCTCTTAGAATGTAAATCAGACAAATCTTGGACGTATCCGAAAAGTTGACAAATATTATCGATACTGATGAAGACAAACTGCTCTCTTAAAACAATTAAGGAACAATTGGAGGACATGGTAAAACAAATAAATAGCAGCCAAAAATGCTTCTGATAAGAGACTATCTCGTATAAAACCTATAGAAAAATATAAAAGTAACTGAAATGTTCCCTGACGGACAAATGATCTAGCAGGATTATGGAAAATGTGTGGTGATGAGTGACCGTTAGTCGATGATTATTCGTAAATCGTGAGATGCGGTCTGGTGTGATGTAGGTTTCAGAAAAACATTTTCTTATCGTGCGAACGTTTCGATCTTTATTGAGATCATCTTCAGGGCCTGGGATTTACAGACAAATACATGTAGAATGTAGAAAAAAGGTTGAAAGGTTTGATTGAATATAAAAAAAATTTATTTTTTTGTATTGTATAAATTCATTTTTTTCCACATCCTATATGTATTTGTTAAATGTAAACAATGTTTGTAAATCCCAGACCATGAAGATGATCTCAATAAAGATCGAAACGTTCGCACGATAAAGAAAATATTTTTATGAAACCTACATCACACCAAACCGCATGTCACGATTTCCGAATAATAATTAAGTAAAATGTAAGAAACCTGGAAAAGAAGATACCATCAAAAAGACATGACTTCACACCCAGAGAACGTAGAAAATAATTTATTATGAAGAAAAATAACTTTATGAAAAAAAGATAAATGAAGCAAAATCCTGGCGTGCATACTGCGATGCCTCAAATGGGACTTCCCCATAGAATGCGGCGTACAATGGCAATAGCAGGAAAACATTGCTAGTCAATAACTTTTTCCTTATTTAAATAAACCTGATTGGACGTATACAAAAACATGGCGCGTTACAATTTCTGCCATAATGGACTATTGCGACCTGCAGATGAAAGACCAGTTGACAAAGAGCACATCATCGTAATGGAAAGAGCATCTCAAGATGTACTACAGAGGATGAATACAAAACGCAATCACGGAAAACAAAGCCCAGAAGATAGATGGTTTTACTAAAGAAATTAATTATAAATAGAGTACTTAATGTTACAGCATATGCAACTTATTTAATCAATATTTAGGGCGAGGAACGTTCCGTGACGCCTGGAAAAAAGCATTTATTGTGCTGTTGGTAAAACCATGCTTTACCACCTACCGTAGAATCACAGTTACTCCTAAATCAATGACCTCATCCGTCAATTGATACAGTAGACATAGAAGAAGACGACGAAAAGGCAGTCTTGGGAAATCAAGTAGGCAGTGCCGTAGTCGTGTACGTTGCAGACATTGCTACCGAGTTACCCCCTATTTGTATTAAGTTAGCTGACTAGTGCTCAAATAACCAAGCCGAGCTTTTGGCCAAATTGAAAGCTCCGGAGTTACTAAATCGGAGGACAGATGGAAGAGGTATCATAACATCAGTATTAATAAACATGGATAACGGACTAGCAGATAAAATCGATAAATTAAGGAAACCAAAAAATTAAAATCCACCGGTACATCAAATAGGATAAAATTTCCATAGAAGAAAATAATATCAGGGTTAAAATCAACAAGGTTCAATCACACACTGGCATAGTATGAAACGAAGCAGCAGAACTGTAACTACAGTCACCTTTTTATGATGCGGTATTTATAGCAACACCAAGGAGCAAGGTATTCTTCGTGACTCCCTGGAAGGGTAATTCTTTGGGATGAGCAATGGCAAGATACGACGAAAGGATCATATGCAAAAAGATTTTTCCCAACCATGCATAGTAGAATTGAAACTACCATTAACTACCTATTTACTAACCCAATAATTGTTAGTGGACACGTCCGAAATAACGACTTCTCTACAATTGGTGTGTATATAAAACAGTTTCGTGACTTAATGACAGACAACGCACAGACGGTATCTAAAGGGCTGAAATTTCGACAGTGACATGTCCTGGAATGACATGGATCGCTGCTAAAAAACGATTTTTTGAAACTTTGAAAATTGAGGAACATATGAACAATTATTTACCATGTACAGAGAGAATTGAACTGAGGAAGAGAAGAATTTGAGAAACGAAACGTAAAACCCATGTTAGCACTCTGCATCAGGTCAGAAAGGTTCATTAAAACAGAGTACCTCGTGGACGAATTCGTTCCCGGGTAAAAAGCTAGTATTTAAGATAAGGGAAGACCCTTTAATCTCGTGTCCTCAGCAGTAACCTGCAGACATGGGAACATATCTTATTTCACGGTGCTAACCACGAGGCCGCGAGAACAGGATTGCTCAGAGAAGTGTCACTGTGGGGAAAAGAGTGGCCGGTCGAACGGCAAAGGCTGCGGACTGACTTTTTAAACCAATTTGTATATTTTGTTACGAATTTCAATTTGAATTTATTAAATTTTCACTTATAACATCTTGTAAATTCAATTGCAAATTGTATTAATTATTCTTTTTTTGTCTATGGTCTTGGTTAAGGTGAAAAAGATCTGTCGTGACAAGTAGTTAAAGCAGTGGCGTATTGAGCCGAAGGTCGAGGGTTCGAATCCCGCTCGTGACAGTAATTTTTTCATCTCAATCAAAACCTTATAAAAAAAAATTCAATTGAAGCAATTAATATTGTCAATTACGACCGTTAAACATATATGGGTTATTAATAACCATTATATTATTATTTTCTTTATGACTGTTATATTCAGCGATGTTGGGTTGTGGGATGTGCAGTCATACAGATACTATCCCTGTACTGTTATCCTTATCCACCATGCCCTTAAAAAAAGTAAATTTATAATTAAACATCAATGCATAAAATAATAAATATTATATGTTTTTCGTTAATTAAGTTTTTGTTTGTAAACAGCAGGAATCAAAAAGGGAACAGGTAGAAAAAAATAAACTCCTCGGCTGTTAGATTACCACAGGTGAAAAAAAAGGTCTAACAGATAAATTACAATGCGTATTTAATTATAATGTTGGGGGAGAGTTAATCCATTTATAACATTGTGTGTGGGATATGCAGTCCAATATTAAGGCTAAAAATATCCCCCTATAGATATTCGTTGCGAAGGGAAAATTAAAATTCAACAGTTCATTAAATAGGTATTTATACTGTGATTAATTATTTTTGTAGTACTAAATATTAAATTAAATTGAGAGGCGAGCTATCAGTGATTATTACCCTGAGCACGTAAACCTCGTAAACCCATGTGCCAAAGT